TTAATTAACCAGGAAGTTACTAGCTTTGTAATTCTTAATACAGATGTTTACTATTTTAATATATATTTTAATATATATCTTCATTTTTTCTCTATTTAGAGTGATGTAATATGTTCCAATTTCCTCTTAAAGCAAAAATATTGAGAAATACTTATTTTTTTCTATATTCTTCAGTGATACAGAGAGAACTATCTTCTTAGGACATAAAAATAATTCAACAGAAAAGCTAAACAATTTAAACACACATGAGAAATTACGGAAGATGCAAGTCCAGGTGCAGACCTGGGTTCCGTGAGAACTTCGCACCCCACCTGCGGGTCTCACCGTCCTGACCTCGGTTCCTCCCAAGCGCCCCTCCCCCACCGGAGGAAGCATCACTCTGAGTGGTCCCTCTCGCGAGAACCACCCAGCTCACGTCTGCCCCCGGAGCCTCACCAGGGCTCCCCTCTTCCTGAAATCCCCTCCTGAGATCTTCTCAGGGCCTGATTTCTCAACCAAATTAACCCGAAACAGTCCAATTTCTATCACATTCTTTTAATTTTCTTTGTAATGGTTTTTCACCATCTGATATGCTCACTTTTTACTTTTTGTTACCTGTTTCACTCTATAGGAACACAGCTCCAAGAGGCCAGGGCCCCTGGGCATCCCTGGTGCCTGGAACAGTGCCTGGCCTGCCAGCACGCAGTAAATGTACTTTGAAGGCTTACTCATTCAAGGTCGTTTAAAGGTCACACTTCTCACATTAATATATTAAAGCCATGCAAAGCTAGGAAAATGTACTAGTGACAGTCACAGTATTGTCATGGTGGCTTTTATGACTAATACAAAGCAATTCAATTTACTTCCTATATTTGGAGTGCCAGACCGTGGCTTTTATGTTGATGAATGATTCTGCAGGACTAGACTAATTGAAAGGCATTTGAATTACAGACACTCGACTATGGTTTTTGTATATGGAGAAGAAACACGTGTGTGAAAATAAAGCAGACCAACCATTTCAGTGGTCTCCTAATCTGATAACGACGCTTCAGCAAGAGCTGCCTGGGCTCTGCCTGTAGGAAGGAGCCCAAGGTCACATTACTCAACAAGTAATATTCAACCAGCTATTCTGGCTCTAAATAAATGCAGATGACACAGAAATTCTGGGTCCAAAATCATCCTCAAGGCTGCTCTCTATTCACATTGCCAGTGAAACCATTTAACCAGAGACCAGGAAGACGGTCAGTGGGCTGGGTCTTTGCAGGTATTTTTGAATGCTAAAATAAATAAAGCAAAAAGTACCATCAGATGGTGCTTCTTTATTTGGATGCTTTTCAGAATATGAAAACAAGTGGCCTCTTGTTTGAAATGGAACACATCAATGCATTAATAACATGAATGTAATACGCTATAGAATCAAATCGCATTTTTCGATCCACTAATTCCAAGAAAAAAAAACATACTCACAGTTCAGAGAGTTGTGTGTTGATTCTTATCTTTGCAAACACTTTATTCCAGATGTGACTATTCAGCAGTGTGAACACATTTGCTCAGGGATTGTTATGTTACATAGGAAAGGAGCTACAGAGAACGTATCTCTGGGGAAAGATGCAGATGTGGGTGGTTGGCATCTTGCCCTGCAAGTCCCCTAAAGAGCCTTTGTGGAGCTCATCCGTTGTTACTGTTTTTGCCTTAGTGTTTGTATGTAAGCATGTCCATGGAGCTTATCCTTATAGGTACATAGTGATATAGTGTGTTTGTTTACTATCACCAGTAACATGACACAATTATCAGCCGGGAACTGAACCTTTGAGAAGTTGAGTGAATCAGAAGGATCATTTGTTCTATTACACTAGCTAGAAGCCATGACTTCTAACTCCAAAACCTGAAACATTTTATGCCGGCTTCTAAAGGCCCTTGCTGGCATGTATGTTTCATTGTCCATCCAAACTCATGAGAAACTGGAATCTGTTGATATTTCCTATATTATTATTTTAAAATCATAAAATTAATGGTTTAATCATGCCAACTTAGCCAAGGTCAGTAAGAACAGAGACGCTCACTTTCCACCTCTAATTAAAGAATTATTCAGACCAAGGGACGCTTCGTAGCTGGGAGCATTCTGTTTATATTTCAGGAGCCCTCATCACATGCAGTCAGTCTTGTACTTGTAAAATTGGTGATAATAATCTTCTAGAGCAAAGCTCACCTACGGGTGGGCTCGGCAGACACGACTTCTAAACTGGGTTCTTGAACGCTTCACTCTACCCCATGAACCACCTCAACCGAATGAGCATAGAGCAACTGAAGGGATGAATAAATGGAATATTCAGGGCATAATTAAACACTGACCTTTCACCAAAGAAGGTATTGGTGACCTAACCCTAGACTGACGACAAGCTGAGTGTATAACCAAGGCAAACTTTGTTTCTAATTGACAGCTAACAGTTATTTTGGATTATGCACAGAAGTGACCTCCCCCAAAATGATCCCACCCTCCCCTAAGACAAGTACGTCTCACGTGTAATCCATGTATCTTTAGCAAGGCTGTAGAGTTTCTTTTTCCGTTGTTGATTTTTTTTTTCCAGTTCAAAGCCACTTTCATTTTGCATACCAAGAATTTAGTAAAATTCTGAACAAGTTTGCTAGGTTAACTATTCTAAAATTTCAAACTAATAAACTAAAAACATTTAGCATGTTGTTTTAACCTATTGTGTTTTTGAAAAGAAAAAAATAAAGCCTCCACATGGAGACAATTACTGTAAAATTAAGGGAGACAGATATTATATTATTTAAATGTGCAGCTTAAAGCTGCATATTGAAAGTTACGGCCCATTAATGTAAATTATTTTGCAGGGAAATATCTAATTATCTCTCGCAGATAACAAATATAAATGCAAATGTTTCAACCTAATCATAATAACCTGCCGAGAGAGAGGCTGTACGATTAGGAATCCAGCCCGTGCCCCCAAGCTGAATTGTGTATGAAATTCACCCTTGGTGTCTCTGCTGTGCCGTCTCTAGGTGGCTCTTTTAATAGCAAAGGAAAGGAAAATATATTTGAGTTTTTTGTGTGTTGAAATTACATATTTCTAAGAGCGATCATTTGAGGTGATTAATAATAGCAGTGACTTTTTTTTAATTTGCAACTAACATGGTTCTCAGCAAAATGCATCCCCAACAGTGAATGTTTATGAATTAATTTCAAGGATTTTTTTCATCCACTGATTTCATGTCAGAATTGTTAACCTTTCTATAGTTAAAGGCGAATAAAATATTATCAGCCTCAGATCTAAAATATATACTGAAAGGGATCACTTTTTTAACACAAATAAGAATTCATACACCTTTTAAGATCAGGACCTACCCCTGTTTCACTCACAGGCACTTTCAGAACAGGTGCTGTATTTACTTCTCTTCAGACATACTTGAGCTCTTGCGGACATTTCAGCAGCAAATCCAAACACTAGGAAGGCTGAAGCCTTGGATATTCAGCCATGATCTCAAAAGCTCCATTTGGTTATGAAAATCTCTGACCAAGTGAGAGGCCTGAAAATAAGACCTTCTGTTGTGAAGAGAGTGAAAAGCTTCCCACGCAAGTGGAAGGAATTAAGTATTTGGTTTGCCTTCCCCACCCCTGCCCGCATTTTAAGATGTACTCTTTAATTTAATGAATTGAAAAAAACAAATTTAACATGTATTTTTACAATATCACCCTTCAGAATTTCTTCCAGTGTCTTCATGTTAACATGAAGACCCTGGGTTGACGTGTGCCAAGCCCTTGAATTACTTGAGTTTTGTTAGGTGGCAAGACACAGTGTTCTTCCAGGACGACCACAAGGATAAGAGTTCACGGGTAGCATTCACGAGGGAAAACCGCCACCGCATCTGCATGGCTGAACCGAGCTGGGAAGTCGCACGGTCTCATGAGCACTGAAACACCATTGGGAGAGCCGAGTGGTGCTCTAAGACACGCACAGTCTCGTGAACTACATTGCTGCCACCCTGCCTCTAGTTTCCAACATCAAGGTAATTCACCTACTGTCCCTTTTCTCCTACTAGTCCATCTACTGCTGACTGCTTGGCTCTCCCTGTAGAGTGCTGGCCTGGCAGATCTGACAGGTGACTGGTCCTCGGAGCAGACGATGCACCCCAGGTTGTCTTTAAGTCAGAAACCCATCACTTGTCCATTTGACTGTAGCCAACGTGATCACAGCTGGATTCAGAACACATGCATTCAAGGCTGATAATTCTTCAGAATATAGCTGAACAAACTCTTCCTCAAATATTACAGAAGTTCTAAAGTATTCATATTTCTGGCATACTTAATCTTTCCCAAAAGATCACTGAAACTTTACAGCTCATTATGACTTGAATCAACATCTTTTTAACTTGCCACATACCCACACATGTCTTCTCATACTGAAATCATTCTAAAAGGTACCTGAACGTACCATGTTTTCTGACAGCTCTGTTCCCGCACACCTGCTGCCTTTGTCTGGAATGGCTTTCATCAACTCTTCTATTTAGCTAAGTTCTACTCATCTTTCAAGACCCAGAACAAACACTAAAACAACTATATCTTGCTTCCTACCTGACCAACATCTCTTCCTCCTTCTGTTATGAATTTTTTTTCTTGAGGAACCACTGTTCTCTTACTTTCAGCCCATATTGTTTGGATGAAGCTTACCCCATGCTTGGACAGCAAAGTTGAGACAGTATCCGTCAATACTTTCTATTCTCATAGCCATGTGCTGGGATCCAAAGTGGGCACATGCCCCAAGAGCTTGCAACCATCTGGGGCCATTTTATAGAATTACTAAGAAGGAAGTTTTGTTTGTTTACTTTTACGAAGTTGATTAACTGGCAAAATGTATGTCTGGAGTTTCTGTCAGTATTTATCACTATATGGATATAACTGATGTATAAGAAAGCCAACATAGATGTAATTGGAGTTGCGAGAGGGAAAGAGAGATCTGGCAACATTATTGGAATACCTGGATCAAACTAAAACTGAATGCATGCTGCTCCCAGAAAGTTCCTTTATGTATGACAAATCTCTCTTTCTTTCTTTTCTTCCTCCCTCCCTCCCTCCCTCTTTCTTTCTTTCTTTCTTTGACTTTCTTTCTTTCTTTCTTTCTTTCTTTCTTTCTTTCTTTCTTTCTTTCTTTCTTTCTTTCTTTCTTTCCTTCTTCTTTCTTTCTTTCTTTCTTTCCTTCTTCTTTCTTTCTTTCTTTCTTTCCTTCTTCTTTCTTTCTTTCTTTCTTTCTTTCTTTCTTTCTTTCTTTCTTTCTTTCTTTCTTTCTTTCTTTCTTTCTTTCTCTTTTTCTTTCTTTCTTTCTCTCTTTCTTGGCTCGAATGAGACTGATCTGAGTTTCATATTGCTTATATTTAAAAAGACCTAACACAACTTTTTGCCTTAATGAATGGCAATCATCCAACCCACAAATCTGAGATCATTTCTGATCTTCTTTCTCATCCCCTATATCCACCCCCTAATTTCAGCATCTACTTCCTCACACAGCTTTCCTTCTGGAGCCACTGCTTAACAAAAGTTATGTAAGCCACGTGCCTCTTTATAGCCCTCACTTTGCTGTATCGTATGTATTTTCTTGTTTTGTTTTCCTGCACTAGACTGTGAGCTTGTGGAAGGCTGTAACTGTGTCATGTCTTCAAGCAGCCGATGCCTGATGACTGCATATCACTGGCATTTATTAAATATTTGCTGAACAAACGAAACAAAGATGGAGAAACAAAAAGTTGTTTGATTTAATAATAGTATTGTATAAGTTGCTAAATGTGTTTATTTTAGTTCAAAACCACCAAGTTTCCATTAAAATTCATAAAATTTTTTCTTAATCAAATTTAAGAGTTTTCTGTCTTCAAATTTTTTCTACAAAAAAATATATCCAACAAATTTAGCACTGTGTTTCCTCTGTAGAATACAAGCAGCATTTTTAAAGCTTCATTCTGTAGATCCCATTTCACTGGTTCAATAACAGTGAGCAATTTAATAGAGAGAGAAATGAGGTTGATGAGTGAATCAAGGTCCGCATCACAGAGGGTCTCAATTTCTATGCTAAGCAGTTTGGGTTTTTTGGTGGTGAGCAATTTGGAGCCATTGAAGAATAACCACCCAAGATTCATGTTTTAGAAAGACCATCGCGGCAGGTTCAGGACGTGGGGAAAGAGCCTAGACACACCCCGATCTACAGAAGACACAGCCCAGCTAAGCATAATTGTCCAGACCACAGCGGTGACAGTGAGGACGAGAAGGGAAGATGCCTGAGGAAGTGGATGCTGAAATTAGTGGCTGGATGTAGTGGGTGAGTAAAGAGACCAAAGATGATCTCAGATTTCTGACTTGGATGATGGCCATTCATTCAGACAAAAAAAAAAAAACGTAACTGCGTGTACGGTCCGAACGGACGGGAGTGTTACGGGTTAACCGAGCAGATGGCGTTGTAAGTACTAACCAATCTTTTTAAA